TTACTCTCCCTTCTTGCAAAAAAAGGCAGGATCACCTTTGTTCAAACTTTCCCCTGAAATGGGCACAGATCAAGTCAGAAAAAAATTCAGCTTGGAAAGTGAAAGATTCAGAAAGGTGAGAGCACCTGAATTTAAGGAATGAGAACGGAAACTTATTCAACATTTCTGTAGCCATTTGCAACCATCAGTCACTTGATCCATGTAGTGCTTTTCACCTACAACCAAAATACAACCATTTCAGGAGCAAAATGCAGTTGCCAGATAGACAACCATCATAATTGTGTGAGAAGGGGAGACTGTGGATCAGGACACCAGGACAATGCCTAAAATGTATGAAAAAAGGTCCAGGATCTTCATGCCTTTTTATCCCAGTGGTTTTTAGCCTTTCTAGAATCAAGGCATTCCTTGGAAAATGTCAGCTGTTAGTTCTCTCCCATTTCTCCAAAAAACTCAGAAAGACCACAACAGGTCTGAATGTTTTAAACACCATGGATTCCTACTTGAAATCTCTAGGTTTATTTTGTGAATCATGTTTGTGTAGTCAACAGTCCTAACATTGTATAGCACCCCATGGCATCCTTGAAAGGAATTCAAGGTACGCTGGTTCAGAATCACTTTTTTATTCTCTATGCTAAATAACGGCAGGTCCCCTGGAGAAAAAATACATCACTATGTCACCACAAACTGTGTCATAGTAAATATGCATCAGTGGAAAGAATTAAGGCCACAAAGGCAACCTTAATTTTCAACAGTAAAATAAATAAATTATGCATTTCCTAGACTACCTGAGTTTTCAGTGACACCAATATTCTTCTAATTAGAAATGGGAGGATTATGTATATAATTATTATTGAAGTGTATTTTATTATGACAGAGCCAAGCAACTGCTCTGAACCTCTCAGGGTTTACTTTATTCTTAATAACTAATAAGAAAGAGAGCAGTTAGTTTGGTTTAATGCCGCTGGAATTGAATATCTGTAACAAAAAGCAGAATTTGCCATATGGTAAATTTGACACCTTTTGACTAGACAGTATAGAAAGCACCATCCCAGTAGTTTATGGGCACAATACTGCAAACATGCTGCCCTCCCCAAATTCCCGTTTCACAGGGATCTGGGGTGCTGAGTACCTTGTAAGCAGTACTCATTACTTTTCAGGATCAGGTCCTATGCAAATGTGTCAGCCTGGCTTTTGCAGAACTAAGATACAGCAGGGCAGAATGTGCATTTCAGTTCACTGAGCAGCATTTGGAAAGGTTGGTAGTTAAATGAAATCTCTGTTTAGCTTTCAGTGTAACATTTCTGTGAGTAGGGATCTCTATAAACATGTTTGCCAAAGGGCCAATTAAAAAGTGATGCATGAAAAGTAACCGACTGCCAAAGGTGATGACAGCTGAAGTCTTTGGCAGACTGGAAATATGACTCAACCAAACCTATGAAATCGTTAATAAAGCATAAATGTGCATGCTGTTTGTGTAATAATATAGCAAGAGAAATCCTAGGAGAGATAATTCTGTGCTGTGTTTCTGAGTCTGCATCACTGGATTCAGTCCTGCGCACACTACAATTAGTGGCAAAGCTTCCATTAAATTGAATGGGAGCAGGCTTTCGAGGGCATTCATGAATATTGCAGTTACATGGATCATTACATCCATGCTGAACCTTGACCTAGAAAAGGCCTGTGACTGAGCATCCTACCTGTTCCTTTCCAAAACACTGAAGCGGATGGGGGTCTCCCTGACCTTTGTCACCTGGATAAAGATGCTGTACACTGATGTAAGCAGCAAGGTGCTTGTAAACAGGTTCCTAACCTGCGCGACCATGGTGGAGTTGGGCATCCAGCCGGGCTGCCCACTCTCCCTGATTCTTTTCATGCGTGTGATAGAATTGGTAGCCCAGCAGCTCCAATAGGACCCTGGGAATCAGCAGAGTGCCGATCCCCAGGAGCAACCAGGAAGAGACAAGGCTCCTAGCCTACATGGATGACCTCAATATTCTACGCAGGGACTGACTGAAAGAGCGTTACAACACACCCAGGTATACAGAGTGGGGTCAGGAGCCAAGCTTAATGTGAGCAAAAGCACCTGCCTGGTACTGGGTGAACTCAGGGACCTGTTGGCCCTGGGTGTCTCCGACCCCCAGGAGGGGCTGAGGATCCTCAGGGTAGAGTTTGACCCAGAGCTGACTGAACAAAGAACATGGGAAAAGACTGAGGCTGCAGTCAAACAGAGGCTGGGACTGAGGCACTTGTGGCACAAGCACCACCTGTCAATGGGGGGCACATGGCACTCACGAGAATGGTTTTGCTACCAGTGCTTCTGTACACCACACTGGGCTTCCCCCCGGACCTCTCGGAGCAGGTCATCCATAGGATACAGAGTCATGTGCCTTTTTGTCACAGGATGGGATCCTCAAGGATGGCCATGGTACCCCTAGGACTCCCTTGACTGTGCCAATAGAGCCCGCTGGGCACACTCTATTCTCACCCACCACATCTTGATGTCATTGTAATGAGTAAGGGGGCTGCCTTTAAGCTTACTTGAGCACAGTCCTGATGGACTTCCTTGAACCCCCTGGCTCCCAGACCCCTTGTGGGTCCCACTTCAAAATAGATGTCCCAGGGACACCCCAGCCTTATGGGCTATATGCATTTTTACCATGGCTCCAGCCACTCCTTTACCATGCCCCAAGCCTTGCCGATGGCATTGACATTGTCTCATCTAGGCCCAAAGGTGATTTGGCCCCCTTGTCCTCCCCGGACTCTCCACAGCCCTGTCTCTGTGCCCTCACTAGCACCAGGGTCTGTGCACCCCAAATGCCACACCCTCACTAGCACCAGGGTCCCCACACTGCATTGGGCCCCCAATGAGGCCTCTTCCTTCCCCAAATAGCTTCACCCAAACCACTAGTGGTTATGAAACAACAAACAAAACAAGCCCCTGGGCTATAACATAACACACAAGACCAGGGTATGCTCTGCCCCTTTAAAAGCATCTAACTCAGTCCTTGGCACTAAGTGTGTAGGAGGCAAGGGTACCTGTGGAGCCCCATTAGCCCTAGGTGCAGCATATCAGAGAGTTCCTACATCACGAAGGCACTTCCTCCCTGAAGGCTTTTCCCCCTCTAGCTACTAGTAGGGAACTGCCCACCCTAGCTCCAGCCTGGGGTTTATAGGGGTCCAGGGCCCCGCCCCTTCTGGTCAGCTGACCACATGCAGGTGCAGGCTAATTTGCTCTCTGGCTTGTTGCCCTGGTAACCTGCACCTGGGCTTCTGTCTCTTTGTCTGGGCTCTCTTCCCCGGTAGTTTCTGCTCTTCTAGGAGCAGGGCACATTAGTGCCCTGCGACACTTTTCTTTTGGAGCTACAGATGGAAGAAGGTGGCAAGGACCACACCGTATAAAGCAAAAAAGTCTGGAGGCAGAAGAAGGCCAGAGGCCCTACAGTTCCTCGGGGCCAAGTACATGAGCCAGATCTGCAAATTGGCAATGGGAACAGAATCCAAAACAGCCTGCTTTGTAAAGTATTTTGGAGGACACGTGCTGCACCAATGGCAGGTGTACATGACAACCAAATTGAGTCCGTGGACCATGGAATCGCTGTGGTTCTACCGGATCTTGGAGCATTTCCAAAACAAATTTGAGCTGCAGGATGATGCCCCAGCAAGCCTGATGAACCACTGTAAAATGAAGGCGGTAGTAAGGACAAGAGACATTGTATTGCCCGTGGACCCACTACCTGCTGACAGCTGCCAGGCCATGTAGGAGTTACACACACACACATTTATATACATAAAAATAAATATTTTTGCACAAAAAAAACCAAACACTGCTGCAAATAGTCATGATATGGGTGTGAATATTTCATGGGCCTGATTTTTAAATGTGATTAGTACCAAAACAACTTCTAAAGGCATCAATGGGAACTGCAAGCACTCAGGTTTTTTGCTCTGTCTAGTTCCTGGCTCACCTATGCCTGAGGAAGTTAGGCCTGTCCTTGAGAATTTGCACAACTGAGTCATTTTGCATGACTTAAACACAATTCAGGAACATAAAGCTCATCTGTAGTGAGTACTTAGCCACCAGTGTAACTGCAGGTGACAGGTAACCAAACGCAGGGGCTTTGCACCTGAGACCTACACTATAACAGGCTTGACCTGGTGCAGCTGCATCAGGATGGCTCCAGAGGCAGTCAAATCTCTAATAAAGGCAAGGTTACAGACAAGGCACAGTCTGCTTCTATTTACAACCCAAGCTTGACTGGTGTCAGCATTCCTGTTTTATAATGCGGTCTTGGCAACACAGGAGGGTTTTTTTCCTATGTAGATGCAGCCTACAGCTTCTTAAAATAGGCATCTTGTTCCCAGAAACATACATTTGAATTTGATTGCACTGTGCTTTATGAGGTACAATTCTTTGCAAGTTACAGCCTTCAGCTAAACACAGAAAACAGCCTTGCTTGGTGTTTTCAAAATGCATCTTTTACACACAAATCCTGTTCTGTGTATTTACATAGTTGATTATCTACAGTAATCAAGGCAGCTAGTGGCTGATCTTCCATGGTGTTGTATGCCTGCCCCTTAGCAGTTTGTACCAATTACACTAAAGAGCCCTCTGGAAACTGAAGGTCCATGTGCTTTCTCTCTGCTTGTGAAATTTAATTTCTTGCTTGTCATAGCCTATTGTTTTTCCCTCACTCCCCAGCTTCTCACCTCTGACACCTCAGCTCATCTGCAGCCCCCTGAGGGGCTGGATCTGTGGAATGGGCTAGTTCTGGGCTTTCTGTATTCCACACACTTAAGTGTCTGCTAACTATGCCCTTGTCAGTGACAATACCTAATCCAGGGTGTGAGATGTGCCATCCCCAGCAAGAACCAGTGGCTCTTTCCTGCTGGAATTAAGGATGGGGAAAGGGGGAGGGGGATTTTCGGTGGTTTCAAATTGAGTGGATCCTTGTTTGTTTATTGGGGGTGGGGGAGAGGGAATTGGAGGCAGGTCATTGGACAGGAGATAAATCAGCTGGGATCCGGGGAGGTTTCTGGTTACAGATCACTTAAGAGGTAGGCAGACTTGCAGAGCTGGGGATGACTTGAGTTTTCTCTTTTCTTTTGGATACTACAATTGGAGGCAGCCTAGCCTGAGTGGTTAGAGGGCACGTTGCCTATAATCAAGACTACAGGAGACTTTCTTAAGGAAGGAATCCTGTGCTATGGAGAGGGGGCTGCTGTGTGTCCTGGTACTGCTGATCATCCTCTGGGGGGCCTCTGGCCAGGATGGGGAGTATTGCCATGGCTGGGTAGATAGCTCACAGCTCTGGCACAAGGGTTTCCAGTGTCCAGAGCGCTATGACATCCCAGAGGCTACCCTGTGCTGTGGCACCTGCGGCCTGCGCTACTGCTGCTCATCTAGAGAGGCTCGGTTGGACCAAGGCTTGTGTCCTAATGACCACGAACAGAGCAGTCCTATGCCTCCATCAGGTAAGGGACCTGCATGGGGATGGATGAGCAGATCAGGGTGGATTTCTGGCTTGTGCTGTTTATAAGGAGTCTGATCCACTACCCCTAAGCCCTCCCTCTATAGTTGCAGGTGCTACCTAAGCAGCGCTTGCCTTCCTCTGCATCTCATGACCTTCTTTCCCTTTCCTCACTTTCAAAGCTGGTCAACTTAGGCTGTTTCTAATAGTCACAGACTCCCTCTCCTCACTCCTGTGCCCCAGAAGACTTGATTTAACTGTAATTGAAGGGAAATCATCTAAAGCTAGGGAGCACGGAGGCATCTTTGCAGTCCCACTGATCTAAAACAAACCTTGTTCCCTTGTCGAGTGTACAGTGCTATGGGAAGAAAGCTGCCCAGACACTGGGCTAAATTGCAGGCCTGTCTGTTCATGGAATTAGTTCTGATTTAGCTGTGTGGACATACCCTCTCTGGCATGAGACTGCCTCAGCCCTATTAGGTTAACCTGCCAGGGCATGGTTAGTTGATCCAGAATAACTGTATTTTAGATTTGCTCCCTACAAAGCAGAAACCACTTCTGAGTGTGGACAACCCTTGTGGTGCTGCCTGCTGGAGAGGAAAGTGAGAAATCCATTAGCAGGACTGATCCATTAGGGCTGTTTTCCTTAATGGAACAGTTCATGGCCAGAAATAACTAGGCTGCCTTGGACTAAGGTCTCTCCATAAGGATTTACTTATGCTGGCAGCCCTATGCAGATAGCTGATGCCAGGTGGAAACCAAAGTGTTAGAGCTTCACTTGGTGCTCTTTTTTGCTTAGGTTTTGGAGCTTTTTATGTACATGCAAGGCATCCACATAGCACTGAAAAGCAACTGAGCAACAGTGTTAATTTTGTGTGACAAGGTGCTGTGGTGTGTGTGCAGCTAGCCTCTTGACTGCTAATGCGGTTGGGGTTTGTGGACTTCTGGTCTTTAATGATGACTCTGGTTTGTAAGAAAAATCTTGGACACATAAATTGCATAGGGAAGCTTTACCTAGTATTCATGAATCATGCACAGCAAATTAGTTGGAACATAAGAACTGCCATTTACTGGGTCCAACCACAGGTTCCATCGTGCCCAGTACCCGTGTCACACAGTGGTACAGAGTGGATGCTGAAAGGGAGATTGATCAAGGCATGACTAGGGTCTTTTCCACTGTTTCTCTCTCACTTGCAGTCTCTAATATTTAAGGTTAAGTTCTGATTCAGAGGCAGTATCCCTAGCTCCAGTGTTCAATAGCAACTGATGCCCCTTTCCTCCAAGAATTTGTCCAATCCCTCTTTGAATCTGAGTAAACTGTCAGCTTTCACACATGGTGTGTGAAAAAACTTCCTTGTTGTTAAACTTACTACCTACTAGTTTCATTTTGTGACCCATAGTTCTTGTCTCGTGGGGGAGGGGGGGAAAGCTTGCTAAGAAGAATTTTTCCAATTCTTTGAGTTTGTTTAATAAAAGATATCAGATTTACCCAAAGAACCTTGTTTTAATAAATCCCTATTCACTCTTCACCGCTTTATTTTGGAAATCCTTCTCAGGTTCCCCCTCAAATGTCTCTTTTCCTAAACTGAACAGGCTTCATTCTTCACCTTTTTATGCCTTGTATCAATAATTAAACTGAAAATACAAGTCTCCTAAGCTTAGAATGCCTATTTACACTGGTATAACAATAGATTGAATATGGAAAGCTAGTGGAGTATCTGACTCTGTATTTTGAGCTCTTGCCAGCAAGAACACAAGCAATGGCTTTACTCTATCTGGGGTCTTGCTGATCTTTTTGGAGCATTAAAGGGTTCAGAGCTTCTGGTGATATATGCAAAATACTCTGGCTCTCTCCTTGTGGGATGCTGTAAAGTTGAATTGAAATGTTATAAAAACAAAATTCAGGCATTTGGGGGGCATGAGAGGTGAAAATACCTCTAAATGGGAGATGCTTTTTATATATATAAAAATAATTAATCAACCTCTTCTCAATTTTCTAGTGCCCATGTACTTGCCTTTCCTCCTTGTTGGATCTGTATTTGTGGCTTTTATCGTCATTGGACTCCTTATTGGACTTTGCTGCTGCAGGTGTTTGAAATCACAAGATGAGGAGCAGCAAAATGGGTCTGCACCAATACAGAGTCGGCTGCTAGAAGCTGATCCTCCTTCTCGCCTCTCCAGTTCTAGCTCTAGTTCTGCCACCAGAGTTTCCTTGGGTGGTCATACTCAGACCAACAATATCTGCATGAATATGGCTCCACCTTTTCCTGTCATAGGATGCTCCCAGTTCTTGCCACCTCCATCAACCAGTGGACTCCTGCAGGCCCCATATATTAATTATGGAATACCAACTGATCACGCTGCAGTCATGACACCCGCTCCTTTCCTTAGTAGGACAGTTCATGGCCAGATTTCTAACTCTTACTCCCTAAGTGCAATGCATGATGATGGAAGGATGTGTTCAGGAGTCTACATCTAAGAAAACTACTTGCAACTGTAAAATAGTGCTCCATGCTGCACACCCACAGGTGCTTCAAGGACAAAGTAACTGAAAGCACACCTTTTTAAAGCATTAGCATGCATGAAATGATTCCTGGCTTTTTAAACTAAATTAAAAGTAATGTGACTTTTTAATTGCTTAGTGTTTTAACCTCTGTGACTTGCAGTGCTGTTGAAAGGCACCCAATTCTGTACCCATTCTTTGTTTTGACAAGAATTTCAACTAAAGCAATGGCAGTGCAAGCATCATCCAATGTGACTCTGCCCTCCCTTGAGGGATCTTGCTTAGGGTTCAGATGATCTTTCTGGCTCCTTCACTTCTTGGCAGAGCAGGTCTAATCCTGGTGGAGACTTTAGTTGTGGATACGACACCTGTCAGTGGGGAAAGTGGAGTAAGATTCTATGGTCCTTCACATACACAGGCCAGAAAACACCAAGCAGGTGGTGAAATGCTTGTTCAGTCACTAATCTAGGCTGAGTTTGAGCCAACTGCTTAAAGGGCTCTGTTGCCTACCAAATGCCATGGCCATTCTGCCACCTTAATGGGAGTAACTTTGCATTAATCTTTAACAACTTCAGTAATTGGAGAAGGCATTTTCTACAAGTCATTTTAATCTGATACTGTCCACTGAAGATGAATTGCACTTGTGTCAGGGGTTCTTAGACAGGACGTTGCAAAACAAGCCTATTTTATAACAAAAAATGATTAGAGGAAGGGGAGGTGGCTCCCCACCCCTTTAATTTTACTATATATTTTTTGTTTTTCTTTCCTCTGTGTAGCCTTTTGATTGTTGTGCCCCTTTATTAGCATCTTACATGGTCAGTTTCCTTATTGTTTGCATAGACCTTTCCTATCAAAGATGAATTGGAATAATTTTTAAACAGGGAAAACTAGTATTGTGAAGCCACAAATTGGCAAAGGGATTGGAAGGCATGTGGAGAATCTGAAAAGACTTCAACTTTTTAAACTGACTGAATTCCAAGTTGATGGTGACTCTAAAGAGCCTCCCATCTGTTAAGTGTTGCTGCTAAAGGAGCTGAGTTTTTGGTTTGTGGTTGTAGTTGTGTTGGTCTAAGGACGTAGGCAGGCAAGGTTCTTTGAGCAGATATGATGTCTTTTATTAGACCTACACAGTTGGTCTAATAAAATATATTGCATATATTCAAAGAACCTTGGCTGCTTAAGGAGCAGCTTTTAGCCCAACACTTTTTTTTTTTCCCATGTAAAAATGCACTTTTGTCTAGATGCTTAAGGGAAATAAGCTGGTGAAACATTTGCAGGTCCTACTACACAGGGCTGTTGTTCTACATCTACCAAAAAAGATACTTCTACTTGGAGAGGGAGGAACTGAAACGAAGCTAAAACCTCCTGTTACACTACCTTTTTGATTAGCTTCTGAGAACATCCTGGAAAATCCTTTCTACTTTGACTTAAATACTGTAATGTTTACACTCTTAACAAGGAATTATCTTCAGATGTGCACTGCCTCACTGCAGCCATCCTTCACAGCAGGGATTAACAGCAGGATACTGATAGGAAGAAGTTGATAAAATATGCTACTGTAGAGCCTAATGCTCTCTTTGGTTAAAGAAACCTGAGTAATTGTACTAAAGGCATGTTAAAATAATTTCCTGGGTATTGCCAGCAGAAGCGGGGGCCAAAGACTAAAGGGTGGGTGAGAGAGAGAAACAAACCTAAATATTCAGCTCACAGGCAGTGATTACATAATGCAAGCAGTTTGGGTGATTTTTTTGCAGCCAAATGGGGCTAAGTTACCTATAAATATAAAATACAGAGGTTAGAGTATTCCTGCCTATAGTTCACAGTAGGAAGATATCTTGTTCTAACTCCATTGCCTGTATTAAAAAGGGGCTATTAGGTATGTCTATTGAGTATTCTGGATTGTGCAGGGAAACTACTGTACTTGCGTTGCCACATGATTATGTCCAGTTCTCCCCCCATTTGCAGTATCTTAAATTAGGATAGTTTACTGAACTGAATGAATGGATACTGGTATGAGTGAAAGATCTATTGGGTTCAGCATATCGGGGCTTGTGTTGGAGCCCATATCATGCTCTACTTTGTTGTATGGAGGGAGGCAACAAATCTTTAAGTTGGTCTTTTTCAACATGTCAGCTAACTTGAATAATTCATCACAGTATTTTACCTAAGGATGAAGATGGGAGACCACCTATATATACCCAAGACTAAACTGGGCAGAGGAAAATGGCCTAGTCTGTCATGTCACTCAGTCATTTGGTCACTGAATGCAATTTAAGACCTATTTTTATCACATTTTATTTTGCAGTGCAGAGTTGGTGTGATAAGAACAGTAACATGTAGCTATGCATCTGATTTAATGAAATACTTATTTTTATAGGTATTATTATTTAAAATGCCATGTTTTAGTAGATGTGAAGGCTCCTTTTATCACTAAAAATAGATGACATGAGGACTAATAATAACCATAAAAGCTACAATTATCTCTGTCTCGTTAGTATGTACCTGATGGTATTCATTTTTAAATAGGGTAAAAACACTATAACCAGTTTTCTTCTGTAGATTATTCTCTGTGAATCACTACTGCCAGCCCTCAAGTGTTTTAAAATAAGCATGAGACAAGCATGTCATTTCCCCCTGACCCCTCCAAAATCATAACCAAATTAAAAATCATGAGACTTAACTTTTTTTGCTTGTCTTGTATTAGCTCTCTGGCTTTTTAAGCTTTGAGGGTACATTTTGGGTCATCTCTCAAAGCTGCTTTCACTAAGGCTAGAAACTTCCTTTTTACTCTTATAATGGAAACTGAGATTATGGGGAAATCCCTTGACTGCAGGAAGTGGGGCTTAAAAACAAAATGCCAAGCAACTTGAGAATCCTAACAGTTGCAAGAGTTGGCAGCGGTGGGAAATATTGTCAATACTAATACTGCTTACAAACAAGAAAGATTGGTTTTGAAGTCCTTTTTCAATATCAACCATTTTCAAGCAAAGAGTTTTATGGGTGATCCAGCTTTGATTACTAGCTCTGCTATTGCCATAATCTTGGTCAAGTAAAGTTTCTTATGTGCCAAGTAAGGATAACACATCCTCCTGAGGCAACACTTAATGCAGTAATATTTGTGAAATGCTGTGCTATCACTGGGAGGAGCTCTGGGAGCACAGAGTGCTGTAGAACTTATTAAAAAGATTGAACCAGTTTGGTAATCATGTTTCTTTTCCCCCACCATCCCAGTTCAAGTGAAGACAGCTGCTGCAGTTTCATGCCTTTCATATATCAAGACCATTCTCTTCTAGGGTGGCCATCACAGAGGACAGTCTGGTTGTCCTCTGTCTTATATTGATACAAAAACCCAATGCCTTTATGTCCTCTATTTTTCTTTTCAGGAGAAAAGTAGAGGCCATAAAGGCATTGGGTTTCATATCAACAGAAGACAGAGTAGTAGAAAACCGGAATGTCCTCTATGATGGCCACCCTATAACCTCTCTCCAAACTTGAGAGAGAACTGTGGGAACAAGGGAAAAAAAAATAAAGACAGAAGAGTGTTAAAAACCCCCAGAAATTCTCATAGAAATTAAAATGCTCCATGTTTTCTGCTATGCAGAGAGGACTTTATAATAATTTGCTTTCCTTGGAGACTGGAAGAAGTCAAAACTTTCAGAGAAATGTTGCCTGGAGCACAATAAAAGCTGCTGTCACTAAAAACAGAGAGGATCTTATGGATTTAACAGTGATGCCTGTCAATAAATGGCAGATCAGCAAGATTGCTTATTCTTACAGTTAAACGTCACTTGCAGTTGCTGACAACTCACTCTAGAAAATGGTTTCTGTCATATAAACCATGACTGTATCTGCAGTCGGGCTGTAAACACAACACAACACAGCAACAGCTTGTATCTTTTTAATATGCAATTTTAATAAGAAAGGTTAGGCATGATTTGAGACAGTTCAGAGGCAACTGTCTAGAACTAGTTTTCCCTAGACATGCACTGTGTTGGAAGACATTTTAGAAGGATCTGATGTTCACGTATTATTTTTGTTTCCAGAGAGGAAGTTTATGTCTAATGGGTGTAGAGGTTAGAGATGGAAAATCCATGTTTCACCAACCATCCCCACCAAAGCAAAATCTCTCTGGTTGAAACCATAATGCTGGAGGAAGACGTCTAGAGGAGTTTACAGTTAAAGTCACCTATACACTTTTCATACCAAACACTCACTGACTTCAGTGGAAAGTCTATGCATGGAGTGGTACAGGAACAGGTTTTAAGTTGAGGACAAAACATTTCAAGGCAGAATAAGTCACTTTAACCTTATTGCACTTACGAGTATCTATATGGGGAGTGAGTGCAAAGTAGCTAGGCACTGTTAACACACACCTTTGTTTATCTGAGATAATTTTCCTATGAAGACAAGTCCTCAGACAAATAACTTTATCGTTCATGATGGCAGGAAGTGCTGGTTCAGGGAAGATGAGAGTCAACAAGGTATATGACCATGAAAAAGCAAGAACAATGTTGATCCATGCTGAGGGATAGCATATGTACTACATGTATCAATCACTTTGGGAATGTTACTTAATTAATTGTAAATTAGGACTGGCAAAACAGCAGGCAAGTATCACCATGCCCATTTCACAGGTAGGCACAGAGAGGCCAAGTGACTTAACCAAGAGCACACAGACCATTCCTGTCAGTGAAGACGCTAAAACTCTGGGTGTCCTGCTTCCTGACAGGAGCAGTTTCTCTATATTCAAGATGAATAGATTTCCAATGCCATTTAGTCTGTGAGCCTTAGGAAGAAGAAGGATGATTAATTGGAATAAGAAGAAAAATGGATAATAAACAGAAAACAATGATTTTTACTTTCTTAGAAGTGCTTCATGACTATTATCAGTCTGTGGCACACTGGTTGGTAAATAGGGTTAATGCAATGCCACACAGGCAAAAGTTTTAGTTGAATAAACTTTTTACATCTAATGGTTTCATTAAGGATTGTGTCCCAAGAGAGGAAGAGGGAAATGGAGGGAGGCAAAACAGAGAGGGCAAGAGAGTTAAGTGTCTCTTTTATGCAAGTTCCATCTTTTACTAATTTTGCTTTTGGGCTTAGCCTCTCTTTCAAAAGTTGAGATATTTTTATGTTAATTCCCCTTTTCCTAAACCATTATCCTCAATTCAAGCTAAACAAGAAGTACTCAGCAAAGCCTAATAGTCTATTTAACACCTATTGTACCAGGTGCCTTGTTCTGTTT